TTTAATCATGCAAATTAGGTAATTAATATTGCACAGATTTTCACCCAAAACTAATCAAATCTGCGCATTAGTTCAGAGCATCTATGTGGCAAGTTTTATCAAAATCCAATGAGTGGTTCTTTAGATATCAGTGGAACAGTCATGGAACAACTAAAAATCAGCTAATTATCATGCAAATTAGGTAATTAATATGCCCAGGCAAAACCTAATCAAATCCGCGCATTGGCCCAGAGCATCTATGCACCAAGTTTCATCAGACAGACGGACACACATGCATACATACACACACCAGTGTTCTCCCCAGGCTCAGAGGCAAGCATGGCGGTCTAATTTGCATGTTAATTTGCATACTAATTTGCATATTTTTCAGGATTCACTCTCACAAAAACAAACACACAAGACAGTATTAAAATGTATGAGAGACTTTATTTAAATTCCATAATACTTTAAATAATATACCATAATTTGACAAGATCGTCATTTAATGTGAACTGTTCCATAAAACTTGTTGTGCTCCAAACATTGGCTGCCTTACTGTAGTTAAAGTCGATCGTCATAGACTTGCACGGGACTTTGTTCCATAAAGAAGATCCACTCTTTGCAATCATGTTGTGCTTTGAGCATTAACTGCACAACATTCCTAGTGGGAAAAAATGATAAATAATAAAAAAAAAAAACGACGAGGATTGAGGTTCAAATAAATGTAAACATAACGATTGAATTGTGCCACGATCGGGAACCCAGTGCCGTATGGATAGGATTTCGTCTGCAAAACATGTTGTTTACATGTTGGTTTTGTCAGGTCAACGACAAGGAGACTCGGGAATTTCAAGGAAAAAAAACATGAGGTCACTATTCAATTAAAATTAAAACGTAATAATAGAATTATGTATACAAATCGGGATTCCATCGATCATAGCGCGTGATGATAGCAGCTGTCGTTCGCAAGACGTTGACAGGCCGCCATCTTGGAAATACCTGCACAGGTCAACATGTGACCGGAAGATTACAAAATTCGATTTTTTTTTTGGCTTGGACAAATTATAACATACGCGTACCCATTAATCTATGAGATATCCATAAATAATCTAAAAAAATGTGACAGTACGAGTGATGTTTTTTTTTT